GGTAGACTGATTGAAATGGATTATGGTAGAATGAAAGGGAGTACAGTAGATAGAAAGGAATGAACAGAATGATGTACATAGGAAGGAGTATGATTGATGGAAATAAAAGAGTAAAATATGAACAGAGTATGGTAGTTTGAAATGAATGGATTGATATATATGTTTCATTGAATAATTTAAACATATCTTTTTTATTTTTATAATAACCCTTTCCAATTCTCTAATCAGTTTCTTGATGTTAAGATGAAATTCATCAAGGAAGACACTGTAGTTTTTTTTCCTACCCAAATACTTTCGATCTCCTCCAAGATCATCCTCAGGGTGAATTAAAAAGACAAACTTATTATCAATGTGATCATGTTTGAATGAAGATATGCTGCCTAAATATATAGATAAACAAAGTGGGATAGATAGATAGATATACACCAAATAGATAGATGTGGAGGAGGTAGCCAGCTATGAATAAGGAAATGTAAATATCAAATTACATCAAACTTAGAAATTCCACTCCTAACACTGAACTGCATCACTGTGTAGTTTACCAATAATGAAAAGAAAATTAATTCATCTTATTCTGGTTTACCTGAGCCATCAAATGGTTGAAATTCTGATAAATTAAATGTCTGATATTTTTTTTTTAAATTCTCTATTCTTTAGTTCTCTCGGTTTAGACCTTTACAGCTAAAACCCACTAAGTTATGTTCACAGAGTCAAATCATCTTCATTTTTGTATTCCATTTGTAAGGAGGAAGTTCCATTCAGACAACTTCTTCTTGAGAACTACTACTTTGTGCAAAAGATTTCTCTTCAAGTCTACAGTTAATCGTGATCTATACTCTATTTTCTTATAAGCTTCACTTCTCCACTTACGACTTATGTACAAATATCCTTGGGAAAGGTATGAATCCACATCTTCTTCTTCCAGCTATGGGTTAAATAGTAGGAGCTGTATCTGTAAAAAATCATTGTTATCTCTAAAAAAAAATTTAATGCAATATTCACTCAAAAAAGTAATTCTGACAATCAAAAAATGTGTTGATAAACTGTAAAAAACAAATCCAAAACATCCTCTTACATCCATAACACACACCCTCTACCTTGAATAGTTCTTGAGCCTTGTATTTAGTGAACATTAGTATAAAAAAGAAAAAAAGTCTTCTAACTTTTAATTGATATAATATTCTTGATTTTTTTTATATAATTCAATAAAAGCTCCTGTTTATTATATCTCTGTACATCAACTGTGCAAAAAACCCCACTCCAAACTTACAGATATTAATGAAGAGAAATTCCTCCTTACAACACTTTCTCAAATGCCTAAGTAAATAGAATTCTACAAGACTCTTTCAGTTTCTTTTTCTTCTTCCTCCAAGAAGCACCAAACTCACCCTGCCCCATCCCACTTTACCAAATTCCCTTGGCCTCTGGCATTCTCATGAATTATACATGGGTACAAATGAGATTCTTAAAAAGTGCTCACCTCACATTTTAACATAAGTTAAATGGCATCATTAAGCTACTTAGAATAGCTGTTCAATCAGACAGCAGTAAACGAACAGGTTTCCTTTCTTTGGTAATTAACTCTCATATCACCTCGTCTATTTATAAGGCAGCATATTGCAAGAATATGGATATGAATAGAGTGAGGGTGATAGAAAGAAAGAGAGATAATATCCATAGATGAAAAGCATGAAGGAGATTGACAGAAATGGAGTGAGATAGATAAACAGAAAGGGATAATGTAGATAGGTAGATATGAACAGTGTGAGGGAGGTAGATAGAAATGGAATAAGAAATGGAATAAGATTGATAGATATGAATACAGTATAGTTGGCATAAGATAGATATTAAAAGTATATGGTAGATAGATAGGAACAGAATGAGGTAGATAAATATTGAAAAAGTGAGGTAAAGAGTTATGAATGGAGTATGGTAGATGTGAAAATAGGTAAGTAGAGAAATATGAATGGATTATGGTAGAAATGAAAAGAGATATGAAAAAATGAGGTAGAAAGATATGAATGGAGTATGGTACATGGATATAAAAAGAGTGAGGTAGAGAGATATGGATGGCATATAGTAGAGAGATATGAAAAGAGTGAAGTAGGGGGATATGGAAAAAGTGAGGTAGAGTGGTATGAACTAAGTATGGTAGAGGGATATGGAAAAAGTGTGGTAGAGAGATATGAACAGAGTATGGTAGAGGAATATGGAAAAAGTGTGGTAGAGAGGTATGAACAGAGTATGGTAGAGAGATATGAGAAAAGTGAGGTAGATAAAGATGAAAAGAGTGAGGTAGAAAGATATGAATGCAGTATGGTAGATAGATATGAAAAGAGTGAGGTAAGGAGATATGGAAAGAGTATGGAAGATAGATAGGAATGGAGTGAGAAAAAAAAGCAGCATAATGCAATTCGCTCTGCTAAAAATTCGGAGACACCATGCTGTAGTCCTTGGCATTCTTGCTAGAAGCTCCAATATGAACATTTCAGAGTGTCCGTGTGTCAATCTGAGTACAATGCAGAGGATCCATAAAAGAGTTGGATGAGTGAAATGGTGATTACAAAAGTGTTTGGAGTGATCACTAGTGATAGCGATGTAATGCCTTCATTCATCTTCCCACTGGGCCTCAGAAAACATAGAGGTCTACATCAAGTGCCTTGAGGAGGTAGTGCTTCCCTGGATCAAGAGGGTGTCTGCTGGAAGACCTTATGCCTGACAACAGGAATCTGCACCATACCACAGAAGCAGAAGAACCCAGTCATGGCTGTCAGACAATTTCTGCAATCACACTTACATATGGCCAGCTAACTCCCCAGACTGCAAACTGTAACACCAATGATGAACTAAAATCAAGGATTACAGGCAGCATTCACCAACTTAAACAAGAAGACAGTCCAGAAGAGTTGCAGGAGATTCCAAAGTCATCTGGAGGCCATGGTTGAAGCCAATTGCAATTTTATTGAATAAACTTATTCTTTAGTATTTCAAGATATTTGTGTGTGATTTTGTTAAATATATCTGTTAAAATGAGAAGTCAGTATTATTTTCATTTTTGCATAATTTAGACAACGATTTATACATCGCAACCTATATATATATAATGCTTTGTAAATACATATATATATATATATATATACACATGCACGCACACACACACGCACACACACACACATATATATATATATATATATATATATATCTTTTAATGTTTGTATTTAAACAGTATGTCTTTTTATATATATTTTTTTCCTTGAATTTTCCCTTGAGCCTCTCTGGGATGAGTAGATGAGTGGGGGGACTCATGATCAAGGATCCCTCTAATGAAGAGGCCTCTTTCCATTCCCTCTTTTATTACAAACATATACAAATCCATTTTGACATGCTTCACTGCACACTGAGTGGAAAAGGTGAATAGAGACATCAAAAAAGAAAAAATAGGTCCAGACTCAGATCTTCATTGAAGAGGTGGGAGAGACTCCTGATGTTGGAATGGGAATTAGGTAGTCAGGAAAGGGTGAGGGGTGAACTGGCATTCTTTATGACATAAGAAAATGAGAATCCAAGTGATTCTTTGTTACATCATCAGACATGAATTCTTTCGGAAAGAAAAATATAATAAACTTGGTAAGGGACAAAAATTAAGGGAGAATTTCATATTTTCTTTCTTTTCCGTTTGCTAATTTGACTAATGAGCCATTTCTGTGACATACACTGATTAGGGAAACAAAGCAGGTGACGCAAGAAGCAGCTTCATTGAATAGGAATTATAAATTTTTTTTTTTTTTTTTAAAGTTGTGACTAAAAAGATGAAAAAGAAAATCAAATAGATAACAAAGTCATAAAAATATCTTTAAAAAAATTTGCTAAGCAGCATCAACACAAAATAAATCAACACAAAAAAATGAATAGAAATAAAATTTAAATTAGTAGATAACATTTTATAAAAAGTAAATTAATTAAAAAACTGAATGAAAAATTTTAAAAATTGTTCAGAAAAATGAAAAGGAATGTTCCGAAAAATGAACTGAATGAAACATGAAAAAAAGATTATTCAGAAAAATGAATGAAAAAGATTATTCAGAAAAATGAATGAAAAAGATTATTCAGAAGAATGAATGAAAAAAATTATTCAGAAAAATTAACTACATGTAAAATGAAAAAAAGATTGTTCTGAAAAATGAATGAAAAAAATTATTCAGAAAAATGAACTACATGAAAAATGAAAAAAAGATTATTCAGAAAAATGAATGAAAAAGATTATTCAGAAGAATGAAAAAATTGACTACATGTAAAATGAAAAAAAGATTGTTCTGAAAAATGAATGAAAAAAATTATTCAGAAAAACGAACTACATGAAAAATGAAAAAAAGATTATTCAGAAAAATGAATGAAAATGATTGTTCAGAAAAATGAACTGAATGAAAAATGAAAAACAATGTTCTGAAAAATTAATAAAAATAAATGGATGTAAAGTAAAATTAGATGTGCACATAGTGTAGCAGTTATCAACAGCAAAATTGGAATCATCATGCCATGTTCAAATTCTGGCCAAGTCCATTGCATTTATTTTCACACAAATATCCTTGGGAAATGTATACCTCCTACTTTCTGTGCCATGATATAGATTAAATAGCTATTGTACTCTCTAGCCTCAGTTGGCAACCAGTCTAGCAGAAAGAAAAGTCTGTATTCAAAACCAACTGGAAATGGGGTTAGTAACTTCACCCAGTAAAAATCTACTTGCTACTGAAACCTCAGCCACATTACCTGGCATGGTAAGGTTGTAGCCCTATACTCCAAGGGAAGTCTAATGTCACTGAGAAGGAGGAGATGGAGGAGGCAAGTAAAACTTAGTTTAAATATATGAAATGGAAGATATACAGAATAGTTATTGACAGGGTAGATAGAATCAGTAACTCAAGTTTAAATTGCAACCTAATCTGTTTGGGAAAGGTATGATTTATTGATTGATTGGTCGCTGGTTGATTTTGTTTAGT